AACAAATCTAAATACTGTATGTCATACTATGCTCTCAAGTTGCCCATGTTCCAAAATAACTGCAGGAACAAAATGATATTAACATTTTTCAGTGCACATAAACAGTTTTAAAGTGCCATATTTTTCAATAAAATACTTTCAAAATTACTAAAAGCATTCTATTATTTCAATACACTCTTCTGGGGAAAAAGTGATGACATTGAGACAAAATAACTGTTCTATGGAAAGAATAAATTTCACTGTCTGCACTTGTAAACTTTAAACTATACCACAGCCAATGTATCTAAAGATGTACCTTGACTTCACAAAATTGTTTTATGTGTTTTATATGTTTTTTGGTCTGTTACTCTGACTCTTAATTTGCGTTTATGACAAATTAACTTAATATTTTTTTTAAATCTGAAAAAAGATGTGTTATAATATATATATATCAACTTCCCACACTGAATATAATTATTACCTATTGCAAACATGCACTTATAAAAATAAAAAATGTTTTAAACATATAAACACATTGCAAACAAAATTGTAAGCTCTAAAAATATTGAACAAGAATAACAGAAAAGAGGGAAAGAAATAAACTATAAAGAAAACTTGTGATTTAATGCTATTAATTTTAAGCATTAACCTTTTTCAAGATATACTTTCTTGTTTTTGTGGTGCCAGGAATTGAACCCAGGGCCTTATGCCTGCCAGGCAAGAACTCTACCACTGAGCCACAATCCCAGTCCCTTAAACTGTAATTTCTATATATTCTAACTTAACCTTCCTCAAAAGTAATTATATGTAATAGTAAAAATTAAGAATTTCAATATGAAAGATAATACAGTATAAAAAAGAACAAAACAATGTATATGACACAGTTTCATTTACAATGTTTTAATTGTAACAAGCATATGTTACATAGGTATGAAAATTTACAGAAACAAATATATGTTGATGTATTCATAACCTTTTTCATGGGCAGTAAACACTGATTCAATTAAACAAGACAGACATTCACTGTTTGCTTTGTATTTCTTGATTGCATTCGTATTTGCAAACAATGCACACATATTTCTTAACTACCAATTGAGTTAATTAAGTAACAGGATGAGTCACTTTATGTTTCTTTCTTTATACTATTTTCCAGAAAGTTCTAAAGAATATCATTTTTTTAAAAATCTATTTAATAGGGGCTGGGGACTTAGCTCAGTGATATAAGTGCCTGCCTGTCAAGCATGAGGGTCATGAGTTCAATCCTCAGTACAAAAAAAAAAAAATCTATTTAATAAGATGGATTTGGAAAATAAACAAAAATTTAAAAATCTAAGATAAAAGAATTATAAACATCTTAAACATTCAGTTTTTAAAAATCATAATTAAAACAGTAAAAAGGCCAGGGAAAAGTTTTAAACTTACATGTTAAAAATGTATTCTAAAAGGTAGTATATAAACATACTAGTGGCATATATAGTCAATGAAGTAGAGTTAAAATGATAGTTAAATATTTCATGATATGAAAAGTAGTACTTAGAAACTTTTACCCTATTTTGGGGAAAAAAGTATTAAAAACGGGAAGATAGTGACTACTGCATTCAACAATGAGTGACTAAAATGCTTCTGCCCAATGCTGGGCACAGAGACGACAGTACAGACGAGCTGCCATGGGCAGAGGACAGACCAGGGAATCACCACGCAAAGGAAACAGGCCTGTACCGCATTCAATGAGCATCTGCTTAAGCAGCCAACATTAGACCTCTAACCACTCAATGGCACTCCTCTCATCAAAAGTAGAGTCAATGTCTCCCTGACCTGGAATTTCATCTTGTTAACTGCTTTGGTCAGTAGACTATATCATGAAGTGAAACTGTACCAGTTCTGGACTTAGATATTAAAAAGCAGAAAGTTTGTTCTTTTGCCTAATTGCTACCCTCAACTGCTGTACAAGGCAGTCCAAGACTTTCCTGCTGAAGAGGTTAGACCTTGTGGAAACAGGCCCTAAGGGTGAGTGTCATGTGGAAAGAGATGAGAACCCGGGAGAAATGAAGTGCCTCAGGAGAAAACCACCACCAGGACCCAGACAGGAAGTGAGGGCAGCCCGGAGTCATCAGCCTGTATCAACCTACCTCAAATGATGGCATTCACCACCAAACCAGAAAATCATGAGGCTGAAGAGACTTGTTATGTTACAACACATACAGTCAAACCCGTATCTCTGTGCTAGGTGTGGTGGCACATGCCTGTAATCTCAGCACTCAGCAGACTGAGGCAGGAGGGTCACGGCAAGTTTGAGGCCAGCCTGCACTACATAGTGAGTTCAGAGTCAACCTAAACTACAAGACCCCGTCTCAAAAAACCAAACCAAAACAAAAAACTAGTATTTGGATGTGGGGTGCTTCCATAAGAGAAACTTACAGCACTGGCTTCTGGGACTCAGGAAGGTAGACACTGCAAAGGCAGGAAGGAGCTCCGGGACTGCAAGGAAGACCACCGCTGTGACGCTGATGGTCATCAGCTCTCTTGATAGCACAGTGATAAGAAACACTTACTTTATAACCCAGAAGTTCCTGGTTAGAAGTGTTTTCTTTACACTCTGCTTGTGTTATTCAGGAACACAGAACTGATACAGGTTGTAAATCCAAGTATTTACAAGGTGTTACCTATCTAAGAGCAGTAGTATTAAAGATCCTAATGTAACGCAGGAGCAGTTTACCACCTTTAGAGGTGGGCACTAGGTAGCACACAATGATAACCCAGTTATTTGGAAAGCTAAGGTAAAAGGATCACAAATAAAGGGCATCCTAAGCAACTCAATGAGACCCTATTTCAAACGTTTTGGAAAAGAAAGGGCCCAGGAAATAGCTCAATAGTAAAACACTTGCCTAGCATATACAAGGCCCTGGGTTCAACTGCCAGGATTGCAAGAAAAATAAAAGTGGAAGGATTATGAATATGAATTGTGTTTGAGGGCTCCAAGTTTTTATTTTCCTAAATTCCCTAAAGTTCATATATTTTACTTTTGAAGTAACAATAAAAATGTTATTTTGCTAGAATCTACCTTCAGATATTATTGTTAGTTTACTGGGCCTATTGTATTAAAATGTATTAGTATAAATTTTATTTTTTTATTTCTTTATTTTTAAAATAGGCAAATATTTCAGCAAATAAAAATTTTCTATAACCTTTAGAGAATAAAGAATGGGAAGTTCACACCAGGCATAGTGGTGCAAACCGATAATCCCACCACTCCAGAGGCTGAGGCAAGAAGATCGCTACCAGCTCAAGCCTAGCTGGGACTACACAGAGTTTAAGGCCAGCCTAAAAGACATAGTAAAAAGCTGTTGTCGCAGAAAAAAACAAAAAAAAATGGGGGTGGTGTTTCTGATTATACTACAGTCTAAAATACATATGGATTCACAATTTCTGGAGAAATAGAATTTGTTTGTTTGTTTGTTTGTTTGGTCTTTTTGAGACAGGGTCTTGCTGTGCAGTTCATGCTGGCCCAGAGTTTACTTTTAGCCTGGGCTGATTTTGAACTTGCAACAATCCTCCTGCCTCAGCCTCTACAGTGCTGGGATTATAGGCATGAGCCACCACGCCAAGCCTGAGAAACAGAATTATTAAAAGATTACCTAAAATTATAATTTAATATTACACTTATTTTTAGAAATTTCTTAAAAGCTATATATTTCCTCATGGTTAATGTGAACATGTGAACAAAAGGCTAAGACAAGTAAACAGTACTTTGAATAAAAACACCTGAAAAGATGATAATAATGGCCTACACCAATAAGAGAACACTGCATTGAAATAAAAAGTCATACACATTTAGCATTAAAAAGATATCAACTATCCCCGGTACGGATAAAAAAAGTTAAAAAAAAAAAAAGATATCAACTACATAAAATTCCAGGAGGAGAAAACATTCCATCTTAATAATATAAAAAAGCCTTCATTTTTACTGGTCGTAAATATGGCCAACAGTTAAGTAAGCCACATCAGCATATAAAATGCTAATATGACTTTAGACTTCATTAATATATTTAAATGATATGTACTGAGGACCTACAGTGCACCACATACTTTTTAAAGAGAATACAAAGAACAGGCTCACTAAGGGTATATTTCACATATTCAGAACAAGTCAAAGTATGTTTGAAATACAAAGTGTTTATTAAGGAAATGATAGAAAAACTTAAAGAAATGTGACTTACAAAAGAGAATAGTTTCTAGTTCAAATGCCATGCTAAAAAAAGAAAACACCTGAAACAACTTTTTCATTTTACCAAAATAAATGACAATATTCTGGACAAAGTGCTAGACGTGGAGTACACAATGTAAAGCGAAATGGACATTGTGCCTGTCCCCACTCTGCTTTTAAGTCTAATGAGCACCCTATTATAGGAAGACCTTCAGTAAGTACAAAACAATCTGTCATGTACATCTGTCAAGCATAATAAAAGAGATTTAAGTATGTCATATAAGGTTGAAATAAATGACCTCCAAAGCTATTTCCAAATATAAAATTTTAAGATTACTGCCAGCACTGTACAACAAAAGAAGGCAGTAAATATTCTGTGATACAGAAATGTCTAAAGAATAAAATATTAAGCAAATCAAGATACAAATAATCGGGGCTGGGGATTTAGCTCAGTGGCATAAGCACCTGCCTTGCAAGCAGGCAGTCGTGAGTTCGATCCCCGGTACCGATAAAAAGGAAAAAGACCCAAAAAAAAAAAAAAAAAGATACAAATAATTACAAGCCTACCCACATAGTTTTTTCATATTTCCACCTAAAAAAGCATTAATTGCTCTGTTCAATCTTTATAGACTTAAAGTATTTAAAAATCAATTTATATATTTAAAAACTTAAAATCCCAATTTTTTACTTCATTTCTAAATAAAATTTAAAAATTTTAATCTCCTTACCCTAATCATCATCTTACCCTAGGTGAAATAATTCCACGGAAATCAGTGTCTATGACTTCTCTGAGATTTCTTATATTAAATCAACATACCTTTCCATGGCTTTAGCTGTATAAGGCAAATGCATTTCAATACTGTGTTCATCTTCATCTGTCTGCAGAGACATACGTTCAAACATTCCTGTCTTCCATAGCTCTCCATAAACTAAAGATATTTCAAAACATATTAAAACAAATATATCAATGTATATCTTTGTCCTGCGAAATTCCACCCAATAACACAAAACTTCATGCTTAGGCAAGCAACAAAAGCAACACATTACTGTCCTTCATTATTAATGAGGAGATGCTAATTTTTATATATCAATTAAAATACATGTAAAAACTTATTCACATTTGTGTATGCTACATAATTATATAAAAATAGCTTTATAATCAGTAACTTTCAATATTTCTAAAGTCGTATCTAGATCTAGATTTTTCTTTGACTTTAATCAGTGTATACTAGCAAAAGCATAGCTAATTAGAATTCCTACCAAAATATAAGAAAGCCACTGGTATATTCATAGAGGAGGTTAATAAAAGTCTTTGGGGTTTGTTTTTTAATAGTATGTGTGATACTATTCCACACTTCAGATTTCTACCGTATGAAAGACAGAAAACCTCTACTTAGAATGATATTTCCCTCAAAATTAAGCTTATGGCATAGATCAAAACATAAATGCAGGTAGGCACAGCAACATACACCTATAGTCCTGGTACTTGGGAGACTGAAGCAAGAGGATCACTAGTTCAAGGTCCGCCTGGTTTACAGAGAAAGTTCAAAGCCAACCTGGACTACATAGTGAGATACTATCTCAAAAAATAAAAAGTAATTTAAAAAAATTTCTAAACAGTTTAATAGACCATAAATTCACCGCACTACCATGTCAATTTAAAATGACCTAGTAGTCCAGGCCTTTCTAATAGCCGAGCATGGTGGAGTACACCTGTAAGCCCTCAGCACCCAGGAGGCTGGGGCAGGAGAAACATCACAAGTTCAAGGACAGCCTGGGCTTCACAGAGTTCGAGGCCAGCCTGAACTACACCAGACCCTGTCTCAAAACAAAACAACAGATCGTTCTGGTAAACTGTACTTAAAATGGATATTGTAGAGCAAGAAAAGACGAAATTTGGCACATAAAAACGAGATATAAGATTATTTTAATGAAGTCTTTAAATAGGTTTACCAGTATCAAAGAAAGAAATAGTGATATGCTCTTCTCCATAAAATTATACTCAGTTAAAAATTTTCCATTTCTTTATTTGCTGGCTATCCAAAACCACAATTTTCTGAATGGCCCAACAAAGTTTTAAAACGAAAGTATATGCCCTAAAACCATCTCAAGGTATAAAGTTAGTAAAACTCTAGCTTCATTAGTAGAATATATTCTAACAACAAATTGTTAACACTCTATGATACTCATGGGCTGGGAATTTAGCTCAGAGGCATAAGCACCTGCCTGGCAAACACGAGGTCATGAGTTTGATCCTCAGTACAAAAAAAAAAAACTACTCTACAGTACTCAAATATTCATATATAGAAACCAAGGCTTAAAATTTTTAAAAAGCTAGTGATTTTTTTTTGTAAATGCAATCTCTCATTCTATAGAAGAAACTGCTGCAAAATTAATTCAAACAATAATTGCATTCCTAACATAAAGTGAACTGAAGGATACATAACCAAGTTCACAACAGTAGTTAGTTTGGTGAACGTAAACTAAGTTCAAGCTGAAAGAAAGCTCTAAGATAATAAGTACATCAGTATTTGAGGTACTGTTTTCTCTATCAGTGATAGCAAACCTTTCAGAGGTTTCAATGATACAAACAACTCAATGTAGCACACGTGCCATAGGTTCACAACCCCTGCCCTACGCTGCTCTGTAATTTTTAATTTATTCTCTCTAGCCTGAACAATACCTTAATAAGATCAAAAGGTTTTGTAACTGTAGTGTAAGAAAAACTAAACAAAAATTTGACTTCTAGGATCCTATGGTAAAAACATAAATAAATAAAATCAAAATGATAGCCATGCATAAAAGTAAGGTATAAGGAGCACATGGCGGTACATGCCTATAATCCCAGCACTCTGGGAGCCTGAGGCAGGACATCACAAATTAAGCCCAGCTTGGGTAACCTAGCAACTTAGATCTGTCTCAAAATAAAAAAGAACTTTGGAGGTAGCTCAGGTCAAAACCTTAGGTTCAAATCAAGAAAGACAAAGGCCAAAAAAAAAAAGCACTAATAAAACAAAAATAAGGGAAGGAAAGAAAGGAGACAAGAAGGCAGGGGAGGACTAGGGAAGGCAGGGGAGAGAAAAGGAGCACAGAGGAGGTCAGAAAGATTTCTATAGCACCTTTCAGAGTTTCACAACGACAGTCTCATTTTTTCCCATAAAAATCATATAGAGGAAACAAAGGCATTATCGTAACTATTTACAGTGAGAAAATTGATATATACAGAAGTAAAATATCATAGCCGGTATCTTTCATCAAACTAGTATGGATACTCATTTCTCCTGTCAAGGCACCATGAATACACAGTACTTCCCTAAGTATAAATTTAACCACTACAGTCTGGAGACTAGTGGGAGTGGCAGATTTTTGTAGCTAGCAAGAAAACAGTAATTATTGCTTTGTTTTGGTATAACGTGGTATGGTGCGGTACGGTGCAGTGCGGTGCGGTTGACACAGCGTCTCACTATGTAGTAGAAGGTGCCCTTGAACTTACTTACGCAGCCCAGGCTGGTATGGAACCATAGCTATCCTCGTCCCTCAGCCTCTCCAGGGCTGGGATACAGGCATACACCACCACCCCTGGCTCAATACTAGTTAGCTTTAAGAATATGGAATATTTTCTTTGTTTTCATTGAATACAGATTAGTTACAACAAAATTTATTTTTAAAACTGAAATATAACATCACTTTTTTTTAAGTTTTAAATTAAATTACAGTTGGGTGTGGTGGCTCATGCCTGTAATCCCAGGACACAGGAGACTACGGCAGGAGAACTGGTAAGAGTTCGAGACTGGCTTGGACTACACGTCCAAGTGAGCTCAAGGCCAGCCAGAACTGTATAGCGAGACCCTGTCTTAAAAATCTTTAAAAACAATTAAATTACAATTCCTACTGAAAGAACGTAGCTGTTTGAAAACCGTAAGATCTCGGTATACTTACTCTTTTGGTCAATACGCAGGTCATACAGAGGTGTCCTGTATATATCCACACTGGACAGTGCACATCGAGAGAGGGGCACATGATGTGAAGGCCCGAGGATGAAAATTCTTCGGCTAGAACACACAACAAAAAACACAGAATGATTACACTTCTGCATAAGTCTTGCTAAATATAAGAAAAAAAATAAGTAATTCTAAAAAGTTCCTTGTTCTTTCTTGACCTGCTTTCATTACCTACTGTTATTATAAGGGCTAAAACTATGTTCTCCCAAAACTCATGTATTAAAGTCCCAATGCCCAGTTCTTGCTTATGTAATCTGACGTGGCAAGAAGATCTTTAAAGAATTTATTAAGTTAAATTAGGTCACCAAGATAGGATCCTAATCAGTATAACTGATGTTCTTATATAAGAAGAGAAAACACCAGGGGCATTCCAGAACAGCATGACAATCACGATTTGAAAAGGTAGCAAGAGGTGACCAAAGGAAAGGCTCAGAAAAACCAACCCTACCAGCACCTTAACACTAGACTCAGCCTCTAAAACTGTGAGAAAACAAACTTCTCTTGTTTGAGCCACCCAGCCCATGGTACTTTGTAATGGCAGCCCTAGCAAACTAATACTCTACTAATTTGCTCCTCGGTTATTTTAAGTTCAACTCCTTATTCCTGTCTTTGTAGAAAGCTTTTAACAGAATCATGCTCAATACTTCAAAACACCAGCTATTGGTTTTTACAGTAAACCGACTTTTGTGCATAAAGTCATTTCTGTATTCATAACTAAGATTTTCAATAGCCATCTTTTATTAATTGAATTTTAAAGATTTCAGCTACTAAAAAGTTCAAAATTCTAATACCTACTAAGATCTACCACCATTTTAATAACAGAATAATGGTATAAAATTCTAAAAAATCCATTTGAATAGTACTAAAATTATTTCCACATTTCTTCCATGGCAGAGGAAAAAAAGCATCTTGTTGAGAAGAATTCTGTTAACAAGCTTGCTCTATTCTCACTCAAATAGCAGTCATTCTCAAAAACAAAGACACTTGATTATGTGTTATCTACCCTACAGTCTACCTTAAAAAAGAACTCAGGGCTACCTGTAGCTTACATCTTTCCAATCCTTTTTCCCTTATAGTAGGAAGAAAATTAATATCCTTTCATTTTACCTAAAACAGGCAAACCAGGCCTAGAATCTGAATTCCAAAGCTATCAATTTTCTTTGTTCTCTAAGATTCATACAAACCAATCTTACTTCACTACACACAAACAAAAACACTTAGACTCAGAAAATGTAACTATAAGAAGAAGAAAACATGTGATAGGCTATGGACCTACAAATTAAGTACCACTCATTGCTCAGTTAAAGACTGAAGACCAAGAAATAACCCAGTCCTTGACATTAAAAATTTATAATCCAAGGAATGTATGCTTTAGCAATATATTTATTTTTATAAAATTTCTATTACTGGGGCAAGAAAATTAATATATTTTTTGCTACATGTTACTTCCTATGCTGTGGAGAAAAAGAGCAGGCTGAGAAGTATGGATGAGAAGAGCCAAGGCCCGCCCTCCCTCCCTCCCATAAGCGACTGGCTGGTGCAGAGAAACACAGGCTGCGGGGAGGGCTAGTCAAGTAAAACAGAATTTCACACTTATAGTGTTTAGGGTTTCACTGACTGGGCAGGCCCAAACTCAGTAGTCTGAGCATCTATTTAGAGGATGACAATATGCAATGCAGCATCTATGGGAGATCTCCTTCTGAAGGTGGTAGCCATTGTTAATTCCCTATTATCTTGCTTTACTGTCCTGTATTGTTTTCATTATTTGGTTATGTTTTATTTTGTTTTGTTGATTTTATTATATCTGATAGCATAGGCAACTATTTCGAAGAAGACAAGATATATTATGGTAGCTTTTGGGTTATTTGTTTGTTTATTTTGCTATCGAGGATCAAACTCAAGACCTTGCATTTGTCAGGCAGGCACTTATGCCGCTGAGCTAAACCTCCGGCTTATGGTAGCTATTTTGGATTTACTATTATTGTTTTGAACTCTTATATTGTGTTCATTGTTTTGTTTTTATTGGTTCTATTCTGTTCTGCTGTGTTTTGTTTGCTTTTCCTATGCCTGATGGTATGAGCACTATTTTGAAGACAACAAGAGATATTATGGTAGATACTGTTGATTTCCTGTTGCCTTGTTCTGAAATCACATATTACTTATACTGTCTTGTTTTGATAGGCTTTATTCTGTTTTATTTTACTTAGCTTTATTCTCTTGAAAATAAAAAAATTATTTAAAAAAGTATGGATCAATGATTCACAGTTTATGGAGTTCTAAAATCTTTTCAAGAGATTACAGCCAGCAAGCAATATAACATTTTATTTTCAGGTCATTTCTGGTCTCTTCTACTTTTCTCCTTCCTATGTGTTATTAGCACTGTAATAATCACTTCTTGTCATCACTTTGATCATCAATTAAATAACCATTTCAGAAAAACAGACCAAATTTACAGATCTTTAAATGAACAGAACTAAGAAATACCATTCTGTTCTTAACAGCATATATACACACACATATATATACCTGCACATGTACACAAATTATATATATATATATATATATATATATATATATTTACACACACAAAATTGATTTTTTTAAAAATCTCATCAGATGATATAGGCAATTCTTTTTAAGATAGCAAGAGGCATTATGGTAACCATTGTTGATCACCTTGTATTTTGTTTTTACATTATGTATTATGTCCATCCTTTTGATTTGACTGACTCTGTCCTGTTATGTCACATTTGGTTTTACTCTCTTCAAAAAAAAGTAGTAAGAACAGTGGGAGTAATAAAACCCAAAATGTATAATTGTCATTGTACAAAAGAGAGGAAAAGAAAGTGCTCTAAAGGACATAACTGCATGTATATTTAAGTGTATAAGATAGGTAACCATATTACTGAGTTTTATTGGATCATTGAACAGAACTGTTTGCAGTCTCACTGTTTGAATGTCCACTCCATATGCTTTAATTTTGTAACTTGAACAACTATTTCTAAGATGACAATATGTAATCTATTAACTAGTGATTTCTTAAGTGTTTATTTTTTCTGAAATTCTGTATAACTTGTATCCTTTTTCTGTTTTTTTTTTTTTTTCTCCTTAAATAAAATTTTTTTTAAAAAATCTCATCAGGGGTCTAGTTCACACTTCTATCCCTAGCACTCCAGAGGCTCAGGCAAAAGGACTGCAGTGTACGAGGCTAGCCTGGGCTGCATAGTTAGTTCAAGGATAGCCTGAACTACACAAGGAGACCCTATCCAAAAAGCACCCGCCCATTAAAGTCTAATACATATGTAATGGTAATTAAGAAATGTTTAGGACTCTTGAATACATGTCAAGCATAAAATGAACTAAGAACCAAATAGGTAGGGCAGGATGCAGTGGCCTGAGTCTGGAGTCCCAGCTACTCAGGAAGCTGAGGCAAGAGGATAGCTTCGGCCCAGCCCAGGGGTTCAAGGCCAGCTTGATGAAACCTCCATCTCCTTTAAAATATAAATTTAAAGGAAGGAGAAAAAAGGACTCACATATGAAAAATGGCATTTTTCTGATAGAGAAATGACTTCTAGGCCTAAGTTCCGTGCACTAACCATTTGTGCCACTGGAGCTCCTGAACTATGACAAGACAGAAGGACTTAATATTTAAAATCAGAACCCTCCCAGATGATCTAAGAAATATAAAATACTAAATATCTGTAAATGTCAATCTAGACTCCCACAGCACAGAAAAATTTCATAAGTAATACCAATATAGAAATGGCTAAACGATGAACACTGCTCCAAAAATAAACACTGGTGGTCTGTTGGAAGCCTGATTAACTTCTCTGATACCTGACTACTTTCCTGGCTTGCAGTTTTATATAACCCACCCTACATGAGAGAAAAAGAGCCCCTACCAATCTGCTTTCCCAAGAGATTCTTTCCAATTTAGTGGAAACTTACCCATGGCCAAGATAGTGAAGTTCCACATTTCATTTAAAGAAATACTGAGAAAACACAGTTTAATCTCATCAATATTAAATCCTTAGAAGTGATGTACCCATCAGGGGCTGTGCTATATTCCTGTCATTCTAGCTGCTTGAGAAGCTGAGGCAGCACTGCCAGAGTAAAGCCACCCTGGCAACCTAGCTAGACCCTGTCTCAAAAAAGATGAAAGTAAAAAGGGCTGGGATAAACCAGGCATGGTGGCTCATACCTGTAATCACATCACTCAGGAGGCTGAGGCAGGTGGATCCTTGCAAGTTTGATACCAGCCTAGGTTACAAAGTGAGCTCAAGGCCACCCTGAACTGCACAGAGACCCTGTCTCAAAAAAAAAGGACTGGGATACAGCTCAGTGGTAGAGGGCTCCTGAGTTCAATCCCCAGCACTGACCCCCCTACAAAAGTGATACTTTAACATTCACAAATAGCTAGATACCATTAAAAAGGAAAAGGGGGACATGTTAAGTCAATGATAATCTCAAAATAGGTTTCTTTCTTAGCTAAATCCTAACAGCAGTATTAGGTAGGGTACACTAAAGTTCATGTAATTTTGTTTTTTGCTAGATTGCTAGATCCACAAACACCAAGGCCATAGGCATATGAGTACTATGGGTAGTAAGAGCATGCCATCTTCCCTCTAATTACAGTGTGCTTTGTCTTTATCTTCAAAGGAATGCTTCTCAATATTAGCATATCCTGGCTGTTGCTACATAAGTAAAGTAAAAGAAACCTTTAAAAAAAAAAAAAAAACCTTTGATATGAAATAATGGGAGGGATCACAAGCACTGTCCTAGAGGTAAATGTAGTTTACATGTGAACAGCTCAAGAATTCACATTTATCAAACTACTATGATCAGGAGAATCTGTGTGCTTAATATATAAACCTCTGTATACAAGATACTTAGTATTTTTTCACTACTTATTCCAACTATTGGAACATAGGTAATATGTTCCAGTATAATGACATACGGCCCCAAATGAAAATTCTCTTCTTCTGTCCTGTAAACCTTTCCGGAAAATATGAATTAAAGTCAAACTTATAAGTACTGAATTCTAAGTAACTGTACATCCTGAATTTTTCATTAAGTTTAGGAGTAGTCAGGAAAAGATTTTACAATCATCAATTCACAAGAGAACTTAATTAAATGTTCCATTTAGAAATTTCTTAAAAGCCAAGTGACCTTTTTGACTACAAATCACCTCATTTCACTTTCATTCTTTTAAGCCTTTCATGATTTTTCATGGTCGAAGGGTAAAATCTAAAATGCACAGTTTTAGAGTCCAACATGAATTGGTACCTTCCTGTGTTACTCTCTGCACCATTCCCCATTATGAACCTCTGGGTATACACTGGTTTTCTACAGCTCCTTGATAACATTAACAACTATGCCTACTTCACACATGGTACAATTAATTCCCTGTTCTTTGCTAGCTTGGCTTAAAAATCAGTTTCTGAGATGTCTTCTCCAATGTTCCCATAATTTAAATCAAATCACCCTCTTAAGATCTATCACAGCAGTAATCAAAGTGTGAATTGTTACTCCTGTTATTCCCAGTGCTTTACAGTATACAAAATTAAAACTACTTTCATCAGGAAGTTACCTGCCTCACACTGTATTAGGATTTGCACATAAAGTGCAAAAAGGAGGGTGGGGAAAACTGCTGCTACACTAGAAAAATGATTAAAGTGAAACTAACATACATTCGTAGTTTTATGTTTTCCCTTTATTCACAGGTTTTTGTTTTTGTTTTTGGTACCAGGGATCAAACTCACAACTTTATGCTTGCCAGGCAGGCACTTATGCCACTGAGCTAAATCCCTGGCAGCCCCGAGAGGTTTTTTTTTAAGGCCAACTTTAACTAATTTCATTAAAAAATCTTGAGCCTTTAGAATGCAATTTAACACTTTATATGATAAAAAAAATTAGGTATTTTGCAGAATTTCACCAAAAATGAACAAACTGAGCCTCCCACTTCAAAGAAAAACTGACATATTTAATGCCAATGATAAAACTGTAGCTGTCAAGTGAAGATAAAAGGTTTTTAAAATTCCGTACAAATTTCACTGCTTTGTTTTGATTGGCTTTGTTTTGTTTTGTTTTGCTGGGTTTTATTATCTTTAAAATAAAAAATAAAAAATAAATCAAACTTGTGCCCAGGGATATAGGTCAGCAGCATAGTACCTGCCTGGTAAGCACAAGATCCTGAGTTTGATTCCCAGTACAATAAAAAAAAGTCATACTTGTACCCCACTTCTTGTGTTTTGTTTTGTTTTGTTTTGTTTTGTTTTGTTTTGGTTTGGTTTGGTTTGGTTTGGTTTGGTTTGTTTTGTTTTGTTCTGAGACAGGGTCTCACTACATAGCTCAGGTTGATCTTGAGCTAATATTGTAGCCCAGCCTGACCTCAAACTCCCAGTAATCCTCCTGCTTCAGCTTCCCAAATGATGGGATTATAAGCGTGTACCATCAAGGCTGCACTGTGTTCCACTACTTTTAAGTTCTAAAAAGTAACAGGATATCATTTACATTTTTAGAAGGGGATATCGACTGGCATGGAGAAAATGGATTACTATGCAAAATAATAATGCAAACTAGTCACACAGAATTTAAGCTTCTCTCTTGGATCAACTCTCATATTTTTCTCCTCTATAGTTGTCAAACTTCCCAAAAGGACGTTTTTCCTCCATTTTTCCAAAAGACTATTAGAACCCTGCAGTTCACAGAGAGGACCACTTGCAAGAGTCAGGGTATTTTTGGCTTTTGTTTTGCCTTTTTTTGAGACAGGATTTCATTATGCAGTTTAGTCTGGCCTTCAACTCACTTTGTAGCCTAGATTGGCCTCGAACTGACCACAGTCCTCCTACCTCAGCCTCCTGAGTGCACCACCATGCCAGCCTTGTCATTATTTTTACACTTAAACCTTATAAATTTATTTATTTACACTTAGACGTTGATAAATTTATTTATGCAGGGTCTGACTATTATATAATTACATGAATTATTTGATAACATATTACCAATTAATTTATCTGCTTCCAACTACATCCCTTATCTTCTATTTAGTCCTTCATCAGCCTTCAGTGTCTTTTTCCTCCCCCATTCTTTTTTCTTTTATATCAATTTATTTAATTCATATTTTACACTCTACCAACATGGACTCCACACTACTTTACACATTTCTACTTTAAGTCTAATTCTAGGGGAATACCTCTAGTAAATGATATTATCAAAATTCTTCCAAAAAGAAAGATATTGGAAAAGCTATTATTTAAACTAACTTTGATTATAGCTGGTTAATAACCTCAATTGAAAGAATCTTTCAAAAGTCTTCAAAAGTTTCAACTTAATCCCTCATTTCTGCTTAATTTATGAAATACATTAAGTTGCATATTAGGTAATTAAGATATATTTGTTAAAGACACTTCCCAAAAACGTCATGTGTAAGGCAGGACTAATCAAAGCTTCACTACTTGGCAATTCTATTTTACTTCTTTTTAACACAAGTATAATATAATATGAAGAGAATATTAACATAAAAATTAAAAAGCAGGATTTTTTTCCCTTTAGTTTAAATAATTATTCAAAGGTAAACAAGTGGGTTACGGGTGATTTTTTTGAACTTACACCTGCTGTGAGTTACTTATTTTAAATTACTATGTTAGTTTTCTACTAGTACAGTTTACCTAACAATGTACCTTTGATAGAATCAAGATGGTCATCTTATCTATTCAGTTAAGTATTAGATATTCAGTTTAAATATCTAATATTATATATGGTAGCCTATATAAGTAAATAAACTATTTAAATAAACTACTCAGCAAAGATATTTGGGTGGCTATTCAGAGCAGGAGCATTTGAAATCTGCAAGCTTGTTATTTTCAAGTAACATATTACTTAGTCCATCTTAACTTCTTAGAAAGTGTTTTTAAAAAATTAATTTCAGGGGCTCAGCGGCATAAGTACCTGCCTTGTAAGCAGGCAGTCGTGAGTTCGATCCCTGGTACCGATAAAAAGGGAAAAAGAAAAAAAAAAAAAATTAATTTCAGAGGATTGCAAATTCAGTCCTACCCTGGGCAATTTAATGATTTACCAAAACCTGGTCCCAAAACAAACGTAGGGTCCCAGGGGTGGGTGATTCAGTATGAAGTCCCTTAGTTCAATTCCCACTAACCCCATACACACACACCAAAAAAAAGCTAATTTCAAAGCTAACAGTGAAATATTAAGAACTAACACACTTCAAATAATTCACTGCCTAATTCTTAAAATATTTCAAGTATAGTACCTTACACTGTCAATGAAAAATTATTCTTTTAGTGATCACAATTTTAAAATATAACTTATTAACTTGCAATAATTAGGGCTTTGCATTTTTCTTAAAATGCTCATCTCTAGATTTTCAAAGAAAAATAAAAAACTAAAATAACCTTCTAATAGATTCAGAAGGAAACAATTTACTAACCAAAGCAGAGTTCAAGTCATAATTGAGTACATAACAGCAACAGAAATAAAAAACAAATTACTTGTGTAATAAAGCAATTATTACATAATTCCCACACTTCTCCCACTTAAAACTAAATAAACTGGGCCAGGGATTTAGCTCACTGACCTAAGCATCTGCCTGGCAGGCATGAGGTCATGAGTTCGATCCCCGGTACCAAAAAAAAAAAAAAAAAAAAAAACTAAATAAATTACTTACGTAATAGATGGATCAACTTGTTTGTAAGCATGGGCAGCACATGACCCACAGTATGTATATCCTGCATGGCTACGAAAGAAGCATAATTTTTCCATTAATTATGAGTTTCAAAATCAAGATATTCTGATTAAAAAACCTTTAGAAAAAAATATAGTAACTATGGCAAACGTAGCAAAATTGGTACATGTATTAAAAACCATGCAAAGATCACATAATTTGTTCCATTTTAAACTTTAAAAGTATTTTGTTCTCTGCATCTTTTTTTTTTAAATTATTCTTTTCTGTTTGTTTTTTTGACATAGGCTCTTACTAAGTAGTCCAAGCTGGTCTTAAATGTACTAACCCAGGACAGCCTCAAACTTGCGGCAATAGGCGTACACTACCACACCTGACTGTTCCAGGACCTTGTTACCCACCACGCTGTCCGCTACTTGTCTTCCGCCTTGTACCACTGCCATGCTGCCCTATCCTGAAGACAGCTGACTATGGACTAAAACCACTACAAACTATAAGCCAAATCAAACCTTTCTTCCTACAATTTCTGGGTGTCAAGTAGTGAATCTCAGCAAAGACAAAGCCACCAAGACAGATTTTGGTACCAGAGAAGTGGGGTTGTTGCTGTAACTACCTGAAAAATTTGAAGACACAGGCTGCAGGAGCAGCGCTAGAATACTGTAAACCAAGCTTGATGGGAGATTATGGTGGAAACTCAGATGAGAATGCTTTGTTTTGTTGTTTTCTGTTTAGTCTTTAAAAAAAAAAAAAGCAATCCAGCCAGGCGTGCTGGTGCATGCTTGTAATCCCAGGACTTGGAAGGCTGAGGCAGGAGTATCACTGTGAGTTCAAGGCCAGCCTGAACTGCATAATGAGACCCTGTCTCAAAAAAGACCAAAAAAAAAAAAAAACCCAATCCAAAATGGCCAGGCTCAGGGGTTTTCAACTGGGAACAAAGACTTCACTGGCAGTTGTACTCTGGACCATGTGTTAGGCTCTGACAGAAAATTTGTATTCATTTTGCTCCTGTCCTAAAATTTTCAGGAAGACTGAGATAAGGAGTGGCAACGTAAGAAATCTGGCACTGAAAATTTCAAAGCTGTCTACTGTTGAGGCCAACTCCACCTTGAGAATCAAGAGTAAAAACCTCAACTTAATGACTTTAAAACTTTTGAGTTTAAGGCCAAGGATTTAGCACAGTGGCAAAAGCACCTGCCTGGCAAGTGTGAGGCTATTAGCTTTTAAAAAAAAAAACAAAAACAAAAAAAACTTTTGAGTTTGGCCAGAAAGTAAAGTTAGGGCCTGCAAAGATAGAGCAGAGGGAAGTTTGATTGATAAAATAATCAGCATTTTAAAAAGCAAAGTCTTTTGGAATAGGCACTAGGAAAAATACCTCATGAGAATATGAGAAGCCACTAAGGCTCCATCCTTTACAAACCTAAAAGTGCAAAAGGAAAAGACTTTGCTGTGAGAAAAGATTCCCAAGGCACGCCGTTGAAGAGGCGATACCTAGAGAACTGATTCCCAACGGGTTTCAGTTTGTATGAGCGCTCAGCCAGCCAGGCAGGCACTCTGCCTCCGCAGTCACCAACAATATGCAAAAGGACTTTGGTGACTATTCCAGCAGGCTGGCTGCACACTTTTGTGTCATTCATGTGGTGCTACACAATGCAAGTGGAGTCAGAAAGGTTTACAAGCGGATTTCAGAAGAGCGCCTGGGAGACCAGGCAATGTGCCCCAAAGAGAGCAGTTAGTAAAGCTGTGAGTGTGAACCCGAAAGCACAGGGGAGACCCCAGAAAGTTGAAAAGCCAGAAAGGTGGAATGTCTGAAGAAATCACAAGCACTGAACAAAGCCAGCAGTGTCATGGAGGCAGGGCCACGCAAGCCCTTTAAGTTCACATATCACCACCACTTACCCCGAGTGCTGGACACGGACCTACTGGAGTTAACGTTTGCCCCTGGGGGTTTCAGCACTGCTTTGGTCCTATTCCTTTTTATCCCCTTACTTTTTTTAGAATGGAAATATTTACTCTAGGGGCTGGGGATTTAGCTCAGCGGCATAAGCACCTGCCTTGCAAGCAGGCGGTCGTGAGTTCGATCCCTGGTACCAATAAAAATGAAAAAGGAAAAAAAAAAAAGAAATATTTACTCTCTGCCTTTGTATGCTCAAAAAGTGTTTAATTGTCTTTTTGATTTTCATAGGAGTCCACAGAAAAGAGCTTGCCTGAAATCTCAGAGGAAACTTTCTACTTAAGACTTTTCAGCAATGCTGAAACTATTAGAATTTTGGCAAATCTTTAATATTCTGCATAAAGAGATGCACATGAGTCTTTTGGAGACCAGGGGTAGAATGTTATGGTTTGTATTAGATGTCCTCCACCCAAAGCTTCATACAACCTTATTTGGATGTCCTCCACCCAAAGCTTCATACAACCTTCATACAACCTTGATGATGACCTAATCATCAACCTAGGGGATGATTAGGTCATGGGGGCTTGATACTCAATAGTGGACTAATCAATCTATCTCTCCCGATTCTCCATTGATCTCCTTGTATTCTGCCAGCCACACTGTGAACCGTTTCTTCTCTGCCATGTCCCACTGCCCTTCAACCCTTCTTGGAACCACCTAACTATGAACTGAAACCGCTACACACTCCAACCCAAAATAAACCTTTCCTCCTCAGCACTGAAGGTGTTGGGTATTAAGTCTCAGTAATAAGATGGGAACTAAGACAGAAAATGTAACACAAATTTAAATTGAGCTGGAGATTAACTTACTGGCAGAGAAGGTAAGAGGCCTCAGTACCACAAAAACAAATAAATCAGGCTTATCAGTCTAAAGATAGGACTAGTAAGCAAAAACAAAATATTTGATATTATCCAATCAGATGAGTAAAAATAACAGAATGAACAAGAATAAATTCTCCTATCAAGAGATATAATCTATGTATAATGTAAATTAAAAGAAAAAAAGAATCCAGTAATTTTTTTAATATTTATGGTTGAAAATATTTATAGGTAAATAATTTTCTAACCTGAAAATATATGCTAAGAATTAGCCACAGGAAGAGGTAGCCAATCAAAATAAAATAAATCCAATCAAATAAAATAGAATTCACTAGGATACAATACTTCAAAAGAAGTAGTACAAGTGACCACTAAATACATGGAAAAAATGTTCAGTGTCACTGGCCATTAGAGATGCAAATAAAAACAACACTGAGCATTTACCTTACTCTAGAAAAAATGCCCATCAAGAAATCAAATAATAACAAATGCTATGGGCTACAAGGAAAAAGAAACCCTTCTACAGTATTGGTGGGAATGTAAACTAATACACTACTATGGAAATAAGTATGGAGAGTCCTCAAAAAAAACTAAAACTGAAAATTCCATCTGACCCAGCTAGTCCCCCTCTAGGTATCTTCCCAAAAGAGTTAAAGATATATTACAGTAATATATGCATACCTAAGTTTACAGAAACACAATTCATAGGTGAACGTGCTATTGGCACGGGGCCGGATAGAGGAGGCAGATCAATGGGGGCACATCCTGGGGACAGTCTACCATGCTGGTGTTCCTCCCCTGGGAGCACTCTGGATCCAGCTGTCACAAAGTGAGCAGCTTTGCTCTCCCATGCCCTTCCATCCTAACATTCCTAACTGGGAAACAGCCACAATCACTGAAGCTGAGCCACAATACACTACTCCTCCTTTAAGTTCAGGTATTTTGTACTGGTAAGAAGAAAGCTGACCAATATATTACCAAAATTAATTTGAAAATACTGTATTTGAAGAAATCATGAGGCCAACTGCTTTAAGTGAAAACCACATTAATTGCGAAAACTAAGGTCTTCAGCTCATCAATACAGCATCTTTTTTGTGTGTTTAATTCAACTTACAGATAATTCATTTTATGTTTAATTCAACTTTCATAATAATAAATACCTTCTTGGTGAATAATCATTTATTAATAATAATGAATGATTTTTTGGTGGAAACACTTAAAACTTACGGTGCAATAATGGCTCTAGCAGGTCTTTTTGTAGATTGTACTTGTGAAAGCCAACCTTCTAGCTGTGCATTCAGCTGCGGGCCTATAAAAAAACAAAGAACAAAATTGGAACCAGTAAAGCAATGTACTGCAGACACCTCCTGCTCCTCACTCCTAACAAAGCAAACACAAAATTATACTAAAATTGGGAAAAAACTGAGAGCACTGTTCCTAACATCAAAAACAAGACAACATGAGTCCACTCTCACAACTCTTGTTCAGCAATAACAGTTAGGCAAGAGAACGAAATAAAAGGGATACAAATAGGAGAGCAAGAGATCAAATAATCTCTACTTGCAGACAATATGGCAATCCCCACTTAAATAACCCTGAACACTCCATCAAGAGTTTTAGGGGTCATAAACACTTTCAGCAATGTAACAGGATAAATAACAATATTTTTAAAAATTGAAAATTTTTCTATACACCAATAATGAACTAGCTGGAAAGGCAAACATTCCATTCACAGAAACATTAAAAAATTAAATTAAATTAAATTAAATACCTAGGAATCAGCCAATCAAGGTGAAATATCGCTACATTTCTAAAGAAAATTTCAAAAACACTGAATAAATAAATTAAAGACATCAGAAGACTCAAAGATGCAATCATATAACCAAATACTATAAAGGCATAAACAATGCTACAGATCTATCTTTACTGCACACAAAAAAGTCCATCAATGCTAACTGAGCTAACAAATCAATGTTAACAATAATATCCATTATTAAAAATCTAGATTAAGATAAACAAAATCAAACTATTAAAAATTATGATTTGACCAGTAAAACTCATACTACAGAAAATAGGATATATACAACCAATCTGGCAAAGTTCCTCTATTAGCAAAACAGGATTTCCTCTTCTACTTCATTTTTCCCAAAGTGTGATACTCATTACTGAATTTCTGGTAGACTAAATCAAAGAAGAACACATTCCAGAAAAGCTATCAAGAAAAGAACAAAACATTCACCAACTAACTAATATCTTTCTTTATAATTCTTCTCCAAAGAACCAAACGTACTAGTTTCAATAGTTTTTGCTATTTTCTCTATGCTGATTGCTTCAGCACTTACCATATCTTCTAGAGAAGTCACACTGGCTTTTAAAATAATTAATATAAAGCAAATTTTGGGACATGGTGGCACACATCTGAGAGGCTGAGGTGGGTGGATTGCTATGAGTTTGAGGCCAGTCTGCGTTATATAATGAGTTCAAGGCCAGCTTGAATTACATAGCAAGACCCTCTCTCAAGAAACCAAAAATAAAAATAAAAAATCCTTTATACCTACTGAGTAAACCTCATACTTGAAGATGAACACAAAAATTCCCCATTTGTACCACAATGCAAATTTAGTTTTTGAGCATTTGTTCCAGTTTGTTTAAAACCTGATTCACCAAGCACTACTAGTACCACATTTGCAGTTCATCCATCTAAAGAACTATGTTTCTGGGCTGGGGAAGTGGCTCAGTGGTAAAGCTCTTGCCTTGCACACATAGGGCCCTGGTTTGATCCCCAACATCATGAAAAAAGAGGGGAGGGAACTGTTTCTGATTGAACCACCACGTAATGTAGACAATAAGAATCCTAGCAAGCTCTTCCAACTGGCCAAGAAACACACCTAATATCGACTAAGAGATAAACAGGAGTAACACAGGTATCAGATATGCAGTAAACTTTAAAAAGCCAGGTAGGCATAGCAGTTTTCACAATAGAAGGTTCAATCCCTAGTAAAATACATGGAAAAAAAAATAAATAACTGGGTATTTATACTCAGCTATTCGGTAAGCTAAGGTGGGAGGATCTCTTGAGGCCCAGGAATTCAAGGTAATGTGGGCAACATAGCTAGGCCCTGTCTTTAAATAAACTCATGTATTTATAAAAATAAAATAAGGGGCTAGATGGATGATAGTGTCAGCACCAAAGACAATATGAAGAAAAATCATAAAATTTTATTTCTAAAATGAAGACTTAATTCAGACAAACTGAAAGTTATAGTAACAAGGCTATCAAATAAAATAGCTAGAAAAGAGAGCCTTAAGTTTAGATCAAAGAAAGAAACATAGATTTCAAGGTAATGAGTTGCAAAATCAAGAAAATGAATAAACAGCCTCCTGGAGGTGGACAGACTGGCAGTGGCAGTACAAACGTTACAACAGTCTTGAGATAGAGACACAGTAGAACATAAACCAATAACGGAGAAAAAGACCTGCCACTCAGGAGATAAAGGGAAAATACAGTACAAAGGAGGTAAAGAGATGACATCCTTAAGAACATGAAGAGAACTTACATCTGTTTATATCAGATAAATACAACAAGAAGAGAGTTACAATGACAGTGAGTGGATTTTTGTTTTTTGGTGGCTGGAAGTAAAAGCTGAATTACAGGTAGCTACAGACAAACTGAGTTATAGAAAAACAAAAAGAAAATGAAAAGTATGCCATATGTGGGTCTCCCAATTTGAAGTCCATAACCCCTTAAACAGAATTTATTAACTTTATGAAAACAACACTAGGCATTAACAATCATACTTTAAAGCCCACACAACACATGCGGTGGCCCCCAACCCATACCAGAGATGGAACTCACGACCTGGCGCTTGCCATGCGAGTGCTTATGTCACTGAGCTAAATCCCCAGCCCTGCCATTTATTAATGTCACATGAAAGTCAACATTGACATATTCAGTAACATGTTTCTTAAACTGTAGCCAAATAGGAAATAACCTAAATTTAAAAGTGCATTTTTCAAAGATAAGTAATTTCTATGCTTTTTCTCTACATATTCACATTAAGCATACAGGCTAATAATACTTATAGCTTGCTCCATGGAATTCAAACCAGTATTTCGTGTTTTAAAGGAGAATGGAAGGGTTGGGGGTGTAGCTCAGTGGTAGATCACTTGCCAGGCATGAGCAAGGCACTGGGTTCATTCCCTAATACTAGAGAGACAGAGACAGAGACAGAGACAGAGACAGAGACAGAGACTGAGACAGAGACTGAGACTGAGAGACAGACAGACATACAGAGACAGAAAGAGACAGGGAGAATGGAATTAAAAACATTAGCATTTGGTATGGCAGCACAACTTTCATCTCAGAACATCAAAGCTACTTCTAAACATCTATTAATTTTGGCCTTTGTAAACATGTTTACTGCAACAGAACACAAGCATGAACATGAGTATGCTGCATCATTACAACACACAAAACAATTTAGAATATTCGTGGGGCTGGGCATTTACTTCAGAGACAGATCGCTTGCCTAACTCTTGACAATGCCACGTACGTCAATAAAACCAGGCATGGCATAAATACATACACATATAGATATATGTGTACATACATGTTCAATATATGTTCAATGCTCAGTAATTACAGTAAACTGGAATAACAGAAATTATTTTGCATAAAGAACTTCAGGATGAAAAGCAGGTTTACTTGTTACTTGCTTTTTTTTTGAGGTATTCAATCTAAACTTCAATAATTGTAATGCAGAAAAAATTCAAAGTATCAATTTTTTTATTCTATTAGGGAAAAATAATTCTGCTAAAGCAAAAACTATGCACAAAGTAGCCAATACAATAAAACATACCATTTTCAATTAATTTATACCTGATGTTTGATTCAAAAAAGTAGCAACAATATACAAGAAAACACTGCAAAGTACAAAGACAAGAAAACTCAAAATATATAGTATACCTAAAATGTGTTAAGCACACTATTGGCTTCTTCAAAATAGTCTTATGGGGCTGGGGTTGTAAATCAATAGTACATCATGCACTTAGCATGCATCTGTCTCTTTCACAAACACGCATGCACACACGCGCGCACACACTATTTTGGCTAACTCATAGTAACCTTATAACATCATCTTTAGCTTACAGGTAAATAGAAAATGAATTTCTGCAAGGGAATAAAGCTAATACATGACAACACTAAGAGCCTGAGTCCTGCTGGTCTGATTTGGTATTCTCCCACTACATCACACTAATCTAAAAGGTAAGTGGCTCGGGTTCTAGTCCAGCTTTCCTACTAACCAGAACTGAGCTTTGAAAGGGTTTTGGCCCAGACAAGACTCTGTAGCCAGAAAAGCCTCAACCGGAACCAGGGAGCTCCTATCTCCCCCGCCCCTAGGGATTTACCTGTGACTCTATCTCCCCCCACCCTTAGGAATCTGCCCTTGGCGCCAAACGTGTGCCAATGAGATGCCTGTGCATCTCTAATGGCCTTAAGGCATTACCCTAAGCTTAGGCTACTTATATACCCCCCCCTCCACACCACGTGTCCGCCACAGAGAAAGCCGGACTGCAGCCGGGGGCAGGGGTTTGCTGGTTCTCTCTCTCCGTGTTCTCAGGCCTCTTTTGTTTTATACTTCTCATCTTTTGGATGTAATCCTATCAAGCCTCAATTTCCTTTTCTGTGAAATTCAAGATGGTAAAACTCAATGATGTCAGTAATTCTAAGTTAAGAGGTAGAATTATTTGTGTTTATGCTTAAAGAGAGAATCATAAACATATACAAGCATTTTTCTAAGTATGCCTGCACCATCAGCTTTTATTCTGTATTTCTCTCAAATTTTATCACAAACTAAGCCAGACATGGTGGCACACACCTGTAACCCTAGTATTTGGGAAGCTAAGTCAGAAACAGCACCGCAAGCTCAAGGTCAAACCAAGACCTTGTCACTGTCATTAATAAGATAATTTAATGACTATTAAGAAATTACCTTTCCTGATGAAACTCCAGAAATAATCACTCTGAAGAATAGCTTTAAAAATTACTAATCTCAGTATGTTTTGATCATCAAAAGAATCATCATAGGGCATTTATTAACTGACAAAAATATTTCTAAGACTTTATTTAAGGTTGGAGTTCCAATGAAAAATGATGGGTCCCCTATGTGGTATGGTAACTGCACAAAATGAGCCCAGAACATGTTATACCGGATATGCTAGTTAATTTTATGTACCAATTTGGACTCGGCCACAAGGGCTCCCAGTTATTTGCTCAAGTCTTACTGTGAGGGTATTTCTGGAAGAGAT